GGACAGTCTCCAATCTGGTTCTGTTTTCTGTGACCTTTCATAATAACTTCAGGAAGAAAATACTACAGTAATTGGTTTCACTGTGTATATTCTGTAATGGAACACATGCCAAGGATATTAGTTTTCCACAGAAGCACCCTTACCTCCTACTGAGTCACCGACGTAATCCCTGTAAAGCTCAGGTCTTTGTGGAAAGCTTATTCAAATAGCTAAAGTGGGATGGCCAGCGCTTGCGAAAGGTGGAGAGAGCATAGCCTAAAGGACTGTAGCAGGAAACTGGATTCAGGCCTTTATCTACCATTTTAAAGCTAGTACATTGCATCATATTTACCTGTGTTAACACGATTGTGCAGCGGCACCTTGTACATGCAGTATTTGGCTGGAGTGGCTAGTTTCATTTGAGCTGTTTGAGTTTTGAATTGGTGATGGATCGTTGCTGTGATTTTCCAGCCCTACCTAAGTGAATCAGTGTGACTCGTATACTTGGCAGAGATCACTAATCACTTACCCTTATCTTTTTTCTATGGAAACTGTTAGTCATTGTATTCAGGTTTATTGGCATCCAAGTGGATGTGTGTGGCCCCAGGGAGTAAAATTTTCTAGGCTTAGTTGTTCTGATGATACTTTGTTCTTTTGCTACATGTGTTGTGGTGGAATTTGACCTCTTCATGGAAACTCTAAACATGGTTCTCCACTTAAGAACCAGCTTTCCACATAAGAAGCCTTCTAGGAGACATTCTTCTGTGGGGCGATTAAAGTGGGGAGAGCATTATCACATGTTCTAGTTAGCTTTCTGTCCTAGATGAATGTAAACCTAGACCATCTGCAGGAGTTTGTTTCTTGTGCACTTGTTTTTTCTTTATTTGGAAGGCAATATACATCCATTATATAAAGTTTAAAGTACAGATAAAATAATGGGTGGAAGTATTTTGTAATTCCACTGTTCAAAGAATTACAAGTAGTGTGTTTAAATCTGTGTTAGTAACAGTTTATGTTCAGTTACGTTCACTGTATGTCACCTTTATGATACTTATCCCAAATGTGTCCAGTCCTTTTATACCTGCTCGTTGAATTAGAGCTTCACTTAAAAACAACTTTCATATGCCTAAAGACATTTACCAAAAGTAGATATATACTAACTCGATCAAATACGGCTTCATTGAGAAAAGATCATATGAGGATTTTAAGTATGATCCTTTGCAAAAAAGTGTTCTCCTATGGGGTGTGACTGTTACCACTCCACCATATTGTGCTGTGTAGGTGTGTGTACTATTACTAAATTCATTTTAAACATTAGAATGTGCATGCAGCAGAAGGGGTGGGCTAGCTGTAGACAGAGCACCTCTTAATACAGGGGCTAGTGATATCATTTCTTGCTTCCTAAACTAGATGGTGGCAGAAGCAACACTTGATTTTTTATTTTCCCTTAGTACTTCATAGACATTTAACATAAACAGTAGATGCGTAATAAAACTAACTTTGGGGCTTAAACACGAGATTTAGTTTGATTTCCCGTGGTTGGTAGAGAGTACCAGGGGCCAGTTCTTGTGGATTGCTCACCTTGTCCAGGTGTCCTTGTTGTGGAAAATGGTTGCAATAAGGTTGTTAGCCATAATTCTGTTGGAACTTTAGAGTCAGCTTGGAGAATCTATTAAACAGCTCCATGGGGACATGTTCTTTGGATAGTATCAACACTGTGCCTAGGAGCTGAATTTAAAACATGTCCCAGAAGGAAAAAGATAATAGGGTACTCAGATGATAATTAAAGCAAATAAACCAAATCTCTAATCACATAAATTGTCAAACTCTACAAAATGTGCATGCTGAAGAGTAGATTAGTATCCGTGCTGACCCATGGCACAGTCTCTGAAATCTATCCTTGGACATTTAAGGTGATCCTAAGTTAAGCTGTTTGCAAACACTTTGTTTTTGCCGAAGTAAAGAGTTGTGACATTTATTATCAGGAATGCATTTACTTAGTGGGGGAAATTTTTTTAGAATGAGAATTTCAAAATATAGAGCAAAGTTTCCTATTAAGTTAAAAAAAAATGCTCACTTGCCTGATAAGTGATATAGGATAGAGTTAAAGAGAAAACTTTGCTTGCCAAGTGGATCAGCCACTATATCCTGAAGAAGATGCTCAGATGCTGCTGTTCTTGCAAACTAAGCCTTAATCCTGTATGGTGAAATCGTTATTGGAAGGGAGGGGGAATAACACCTATATAGGACCCAGGCAGAAAAATGCTCTCGGGAAGACAGGGTATGGACATTTGACAAGGAACTCATCAGCACATATGGCTGTAGGCAGTAGATTTTTTACATGATAACCTGATAGGTAGTTGATGAATCAAGCTGAGAAGCAGTTTGTAGAGAGTGACTGACCTGATTCCTAGTGAGGAGACCTGGGGTTTTGTCTCATCTCTTACTTGTACTTGGCTCTGTGGATGTCATGTCTTTGGGCATCAGTTTCCTCATCTGTGTCAGGAAAGGTTGATGTAAATATCACAGATCTTCAGCTGTCAGTGCTATGGTTTTCTTGCTGTCACTGCTTATAGGTGGTGTTTTTTTAATTTATTGTAATGCTGTGAATTTAAACACAATTTCATATGTTTCCTTTAATTCTCACTCTTTTTATATAAACCAGAAATCAGGGAAAAATGAGTTTTTTTTCAGATATCATTCACTTCAGGAAAAAAGCTAGCTCTATTGTTCTGAAGGATAGAATATCAATAAATAAAATACACATTGTTTTTATTTATTGATGTCTTATGTATTATGTACTTTATAAACTCCTTAAATATTGACAAGTGTGCATGTGCTGTTTTGTATTAAATACATTCCAAAAGTTGATCCAGAAAATATATTTGAGATTAACCACCTACTACAACAAATACAAGCCCTTTGTGTTAGTATTTACTAAGTAGGATATTATAGTCAATTTTTACTGGTTTCTCCAAATAGTGTAAGTATTTTGCCTTCTTAGAGTTTTTACAGTATAGCTGAAGAACTGAATTAATAAATAAAAGGCAGGAACCTGTTTTGTTACTTTACACCTCTTAGGAAGCACCATTAGATGTGTAAGTTTGGTCTCCTTTCTGAAATCAAGAATGTTTATTTGGAAGTGATGTGGAATGACCTGGCCCAGCTTCCTTAAATAGTGGTTTGTTTGTGTAGGTACATCTTCTGTGGTCACTGCTACCGCATGTAAATAATAATTCAGCAAATGACGATTGATTCCCTTGATGACACTTTTTTTTTTTTACCTTAGATGACTTTTTTACACTAATAGCCATTGCTTTTAGTTAGAAATTAGAGACAACTGTCTCTAATCAGCTATTACAAAGCCAACAAGTGATCCCCCTAATGACATACAAACCTGAGGTTAACATAAGTGAAGACTGGCAGAGGAAGGGAAGAAACTTCAGGTGTGGACTGCGAAGATGACATTCTGGATTGGACTAGTGGCGTGGTGGTTGTATGGGGAGGCACCAGTCTCGGCGAGACTTCTGTCCAGGCGTTAGCAGTCATGCTCGGGCTGTGGCAAAGTGGCACCTTTTAAGGTTGTATTTAAGACACTGACATTGGGCTTCCTAACACCAGAATCTGAATGTGTTTCCTTACCTGTTCCTGCATTCAGAACTGAATTAGGCCAGCTTCCATTACTGAAATGGCATTTTCCAGTGTGAGTAAAGCAGGAAGTCCTCAAAGCATTCTTCTTTAAAACCAGGGTAAGCAAACCAGGTTTTTTACACAGTCAGGTGTATTGAGACAAATGACTTGATGAACTACTTTTCAAAAATTTATTTGGTTCCTTAATAGGCTTACATGAAAGAATCATCTTTCTTCCGTTTGGTAATTTTTGAATAGAAAATCAAATGTAAAAGGGTCGCTCAGCTGAACAGTTGCAGACATACCTGTCAATTCAGTTTTCCGCTCTTAACCTGCACCTGTGAGACTTTTGAAAGCAATTAGTATTAATTAGGCTTCCTTAAACTTTTAAAAATCAGCTTAATTCAAGGAGAAGGAAGGCCTGTAGCTTATTTCCTGGAACATTTCTGTCATTGACTCTGTGGGAAGTGAGTTGACAGCTTTTGAAATGTGCTTGCACTTCAGCTTGGAGCTGTGGAGAAAACTTTCATGGGTTTCCCCTCTGAGGCAGTCATTTTAATCTCACACTGAAGCCCTCAGTGTTACCATCTTCCGACTTACCATCTTACATAGTCACTGCTTTATAACTTGCAGACTCTCATAAATCTGCAGAAAGGAGAACTAAGGCTTAGCAATATAGAGTCTCCAGAATGAACCCCCGTTTGAAACATCATAACCCTATGAAATGTCGGCAGATTTCCGTCTCAGTTTCAGCTGCCTTACAGGGCTTTAGGTGAGGGATCAGGCTGAGGAGATATTTGCATACTATTTAAGTTTTGCATACTATTAAGGTTCAGTATCACAGGCTGATATCACAGTAGCTAATATATGACCTGGCCTAGGCTTAAAATCTGAAGTAGGGACTCCTGAGAGCAACGATGGGAAGGGAAGGTACCATTAAAATTGGGTCAGATGATAAAAATGGGATAGATGATAGAAGGTCTGCAAATAAGCTAAGCTTTCCCCCTTCACTTGTTTACAACTGCAGTCTACATGCATGTTGTCTCAGATCACCTCTGCAAATCTAGCTTGGCCTATTGACGAGAGCCTGGATTATTGATGAGTTTCACGTAGAATCCGATTTGTTACATGCTGTGAGGAGAGTTGAGGTGCGCTGTCTGTGGGTATCTGGCCTGATGTGATAATTACAAGTACACAGAATCATGCAGGCCTCACGGTCTACGGAAACAGCTTGGTGGTGATGGGTTAGTTGGTGGCGGTTTGACCTGCCATCCACATTTAGGTATAGGCAAAGGTAGAGAAAACAATGTCCTTTTTTTTCTTTAAGTGCATTTGCCTACAATTGGAAAGTAGTCTGTAGTTTTATAGAAGTTTCCTTTTTTTATTTGTAGGTATAATACTTTGCCAAGCAGAAGAACCCTGAAAAATTCAAGATTAGTGAGTAAAAAAGATGACGTGCATGTCTGTATCATGTGTTTACGTGCCATCATGAATTATCAGGTAGGTTTGTCTTTCTGATCTTTTTTAAAAAAAAATTTGAATTCATTAGACTGAGATCTTGTTCTCTTTGGTTTCTTTGTATTATTTCTATTTGAGATAAATGTTAGGATTTAATGAGATTCTATTGAAAAAGAAAGGTCTGGATCATATTTGTGCTCATAATTTATGGCCCTTATATTTTTAATTAGCATTTATAACTTATAATATACTTAAAGGGAAGAAATTTTCCTCCCACATTGACAAACTTGTCTAGATGACTTGGTAAATGTTTGTGACTATTAAAGACTGAGTAAGCCACTGGTTGTGGGCAATAATGAAACAACTTTAGAACCTTAGGAATGAACAGACTTACACACTGTGTAGGTCATTGTTTCTCAAAGGCTTATATGATGAACAGGCAAGGAGCTGCAGTTACTGTTGGTTGGACTCATTGGTTCCTAATCTTCATAAGAAGCACTTGGAGGGTTCTTGTTAGAAAGGCAGAGCCCTCCTTCAGATGATGGATGCAGATTATCCCTACTCTGAGAAACACCGGGAGCGGCTACAGTGTGTAGGATTCATGCTAACCACAAAGCGGGAGTTAGAGCCTGGAGTATCTAGGGTGAACTCATAGGGTCGAAAGTCTAGTTGGGGAGGTGGGGGAGGGTATAGCTCCCTGTGGTAGAGTGTTTGGCATGCGTGAGGTCCTGGGTTCAATTCCTAGTACCTTCATTAATCAGTCAATAAATACATATATACGTACATACCTACATAAAACTAATTCTGCCCCCCCCCCAAAAAAACCTAGGAAAAGCAAACTGGGGTGAGAATTAGACAAACAGTTCAAATTAGAAATTCGGATTTGATTTCCATTGATAGAGATGCTACAGATGGGTCCAAGTTGAAATGGACAGTAAATACATAGGATGTATTAGAGTTTAAACCCAACATAAGCGTGCCAGATTGAGTTTAAGAAGGTAAACGTGTGTTTATTCTTTCAATCTATTAATATTTTTTGAGCCTTGTTAGACAGACCCTGTTCTAGGCACAAGTACTATAGCATCAAATAAATAAGTGCCCCATGGAACTCACTTTATATTGAGGGGAGACATGATAAACAATTAAATTGGTAAACTGTATAGAATTTCAGATAATAACAGTGATGAAATGAAAGCAAACACATAGTCTACAGTCTAGTACTTTACTGTAGTCTATTACTTGATTTAAGCCTCATAACAGTCCTTTGAGATTGGTAGTATTACTCTCCCCATTTTATTGATGAGGAAACTGAAACATAGAGAAGCCCAGAGTCATATGGCTAATGAGTGGTGAAATCAGATTTGTAACAACTGGAATGAGAGAACAAGGTAAGGGATATTTAAGAAAAAAGATTCGGGGCAGAGAGGAGGCAGATGCAAAGACCCTGAGGCACTATAGGTCTGATGTGCTCAAGGCCCAGAAAGAAGGTCAGGTTGGCTGGGCCAGAATGAATAAGCAGGAGAAAGAAGAAGATGAAATCTGAAGTTAAAATGGGGTCCTAATTATGTAGGGTTTTCTAAGCTGGTAGAAGAACATTGGCTTTACTATAAGTGGAAAGCTATTGAAGTGTTCTAAGGAAAAGTGTGACTTGATCTGACCCTTGAATTTAAGATAATCACTCTGGCTTCTGTGTTAGGATTGATCTTGGGGGGCAAAGACAAAGGGAGGGTAGATCTTTTAGGAGGTTGTTGCTTTAATTTAGGTGAGTGTTGATGGAAGTATGGATCAGCATAATAGAAGCAGAGGTGATGAGAAGTGGCCAGATCCTGATTTTGTTCGGTGGTAAAGACAATAACTTTGGGTGTGTGGTGAGAAGTGGAGGGCTGCTCCAAGGTGTTTGTCCTGGGCACCTGTAAGATGGAGTTGCCATCTACTAAGATAGGGAAGGCTACAGGATGAGTAGATTTGGGAGACCTGATTGGAAGTTCAGTTTGGGGAATGTTAACTTTCAGATGTCCATAGGCATCCAAATAGAGATCTTAAATAGGTGGTCGGATATGCCAGTCTGGAGTTCTGGGCTGGAAGTACAAACTTGGGAGTTAATATGTGACATATAAAGGCAGGAGAGTCAAGGAAATCAGCAGGGGTAGACAGAGAAGCAAAGAGGTCCCAAATAACTCTAGTGTATTCTGTTCATATGTCAGAGAGATGAAGAAAAATTTGCTACAGAGACTGAGAAATAGCCAGAGAGATAGGAGCCAAGTACAGGAAATGTTTCAAGGAGCAGAGAGTACTTAGCTGTGTCCAGTGCTGCTGCTAAGTCATGAGAGTTTTTCAGGGGCTCTAGCCAAGTGCAGGTCATGGGTAATCTCGGTAGCAGTTCATCAGAGTGGTGGGGATGAAATGCCTGATTGAAGTGGTGTTGAGAGAGAACAGGAAGAGAGGAATTGGAGACCATAAGTGGTTGGAGTTTTGCTGCAAAAGAATAGCAGAGAATTGAGGCAGTAACTGGACACAGGTTGTAGGATTGAGAGAGATTTTGTTGTTGCTGTTGTTTAAGATGAGACAATTAGCAAGGGAGGGTAATAGCTCAGTGGTAGAGTGAGTGCTTAGCATGCACAAGGTCCTGGGTTCAATCCTCAGTACCTCCATTAAAAAAAAGGTAAGAATTTGCATCATGTTTTTATGCTAATAGTATTGAATCAGAGAGGGGGAAAAAATAATGATGGAGTGGGAGAATTGCTGGAGCATATAATGTTCTTAAGTTGGTGAGAGGGAATGGGATCAAGAGCTCAAGTGCAGGAATGGCCTTAGTTGGGCTCATGGGAGAGTTCACCTTCAGGAAGAAGTGAGAAGGGAAGCCACATATCTATGTGGGTGAGTTGATTTGGTGGGAGCTTTTGGAAGTTTTTTTTCTGATTGCTTATTTTTTCTCAGCATAACTGGAAATAAGATCATGAGCTGAGAGTGAGTTTGGAGGAGAAAGAACAAATCCTCAACTCAGAAGAATCAAGAATGATTCTTGGTCCTGTTTATTGAACTTACTTCATTTTATAGAAGGATGAAGTAACTTGCCTCACAGCAAGGCAGATTTTCCCAGGCTTTTGGTCCTGATAGCCACTGCCCAGGGAAGGGACTAGAGGCGATGTCCACTCTCGTTGCGCAGTGAAGTCAGCTTAAAAGAGTTCAGATGCTAGGGCTCTGTCCTTGAGATTCAAAAGAAATTGACCTGGAGTGTGTCCTGGGTAATGGGTGTTTTGTTTACTTTCCCAGGTAATTTTGCCAAGCAGCTGGGTTGGAGAATCAGTGGGCTGGAGCCTTTTCATCCTTTTTAACAAAGAGAAGCATGTAGTTTATTCGTAGAGAATGGGAATATGGTGCCTTGATAATAGCATCATTCCTGAAATTTTTCATAGAGAAATATGTTCAGACACTGATGTGCTAGAGACATAAGTACATTTATGATGGTATAAAATTACATTAGGTAGAAACTTTAGGTTTTTGTTTTTTCATCAACATTAACAGTCCCCTCAATTGACTCTTAATGCTTTGTTTTTTCCATATCAATTTCAGTATGGTTTCAACATGGTCATGTCTCATCCACATGCTGTCAATGAGATTGCACTAAGCTTGAACAACAAGAATCCAAGGTAAGCTGGCTTTGTAACATACAGATCTAACTCTAATTAGGAAAGCAGAGAGCTCATTGACCCTTAACCAAATTAGAGTTTGGAAACTTTCAAGTACAACTGTTTAAATTAAGATTGCCAATAGACTCCGTGGCTACGTAGAATTTTATTTACAGCTTTGTTAGATTTTCACGTGTGGCAGAGTTTGAGCAACTGGTGATAGCTATGGCCCTTCACTGTTTACTTCAAGCTTTCATTCCCCTTGAGGCCTGGTTCTCAGCATCCTTGCAAATGTAGCAAAATTGAGTGAAGAGCGTGGAGCTGCCAGGTTGTTGGGACTGTGGCCAGGAGAGTCTTGGTACAGACTTAGCCACACCACTTACTGCTGAAAGCAGACTAAAACCACTGCCCCTTCTCCACACATCATTTGCAACCTTTACACATGTAGCTTTTATTACCAAACAAACAAACAAAAAAACCTCACAAAATAAAACATAACTGTGCATGCAGATTTCTTTCCGTATTCACTTTCCTATAAAGGCCAGTGCCATGTATTATTCACATCACAGATGACGTCTAGAAGCCTGTCTTCATCAATTTACTTTAGTGTCATGTGTTTTCCATTCTAGTGCATTTCTGCATTTCACACGTGTTACTCCCTCTTATCAGATCTCTCTATATAGACTGCGTATCTGAAAACTTAATTCAATTAAAATATGATTATAAATTAGATCCTTTCTAAGAGTGCAATGCAAACCGTATATCCTATTTAAATGTTGAATATTATTATTTTAGATTTCCCCTGATTAAAAGCTTTTGCACCTTTGTGATTGCTTCCTTAGTTTACCAGAACCCCAAGTAGTCACACATCTTTGTTCCTGCTTCCACTATGGGGAGGTCATTATTCATTTTTCTTAAGACAGCTGATATTGTGAATTATCAGAACAATCTTCATTTAGAGGTTGGCACTAGCTTTTATTCCAGAAAAAAGATGAAATACTGAAGTAATCTTACTGTGAAGAAACAGCGCTGTCCTTGACATTGTATTTGAAAACTTAGATAGTATCCCTAAGGTTCTCCTTCTAAAAATATTTCAGATGGAGTTTTGTTTTCTTCAGTCAGAGAAAATACCCTTGTATTAGCACAGCTGTAATCCAGCTCCTTTCAAATCTCCTGCATAGGGGGAAAAATGATGAAAATTTGCATTGTTGTAGGGGATTTTTATGGAGCCATGACAAATTAGCAGATTTGAAATGTAGGACATTGATTTCAGTTGATTTTGAACTTTGGCAAATGTTATACCTCTGACTCTAGGAACAGAGAAAATATTTTTTTTATTCTTATTTTTATTGAAGTGTAGTTGACTTACAATGTTAGTTTCAGGTGTACAGCAAAGAGATTAAGCTATCCATATACATACATATACTTTTTCAGATTTGTTTCCATTTTAAGTTATTACAAGGTAATGAATATAGTTCACTGTGCTAAATAGTAGGTCCTTGTTGTTTATCTGTGTTATATTAGTAGTGTGTATCTGTTAATCCCAAACTCCTAATCTATCCCTTACTCCTCACCTCTCTTCCCTGCCTTGTAACCACAGTTTATTTTCTACGTCCATGAGTCTATTAAAACCAGAGAAAATATTTAACCAGTGGGTGGTTTCCCTGAATAGTCTTGTGTTTCCTATTGTCTTTAGCTAGTAAAAACCCTTTTCCAACCATAGTACACTGAGCATACACTGAGTCATCTGATGATAGAACTAAAGACTTAATCTTCCCAGAATTAATTTTCATTTGTGAGTAATTTGTAGTCTTGGAAGGGGGAAACATGCCTTCCAAATTTGCTACCCTCAGTAAGTCACGTACGTGGAAGTGGGTGAAGATTTGAAAATGCATCTGGCTTTAATATAACTATGCCTTAGTTGGTAAAAGTTTGAAAAAACATACACGGACAAATATTTTATTATCATATTCATCTTAGAAGAATCAGCCAATTCGTTCACTTTCACTGATTTGTGTATTTTTTTTCTTCTTGTTTTGACAGAACAAAAGCCCTTGTCTTAGAATTGTTGGCAGCCGTTTGTCTTGTCAGAGGCGGGCATGAAATCATTTTATCAGCATTTGACAACTTTAAGGAGGTAGGATACTCTATAGTTTTAAAAAGAAGGCTCACACAAACATCTTCTATTTGGACATCTTTGAACAGAATGGTTTACCGTGTGTGTGTTATTATTGAGATATAATTGACATATAACATATTAGTTTCAGGTGTACAGCATAACAAATCGATATTTGTATATATTGCAAAATGATCACCACTATAAGTCTAGTTAACATCCATCACCATGATTTACCTTTTCATTTATTCTAGGGCCTAAAGGGTATAATAGTAAATTATCTAAGATGTCACTGAGGGAGAAGTAATGAACTCAGTCTAAATATTGTAAGTGGATGCATTAAGCTTCCCTTGGTGTCTCATTCCCAAGAAGAGTTAAAAACTATTTGCAGGACTCGCTTTCCTTAGGAGAACACGAAATAGCCAAGTTTGAAAGCAGATATTGTTAAATGTACGTAGTTTTCATTATGGTTGTTACTTGAGCATCCACCTTGTAAATTTCACCAACTCCTTCATTGTAGTTATTTTCCTCAGATCAGATGTATGATCATTGCTTTGCTGGATGCGATGAGAAACATATCAAATACAGACACTGATTTTAGCAGTTTGTCATCTTAATCTGGTGATCTGGTCACAGGAAAACAACAGCCACTGGGCATGCTTGATTGAAATGGAAACTAAATGACTACAAAAGAAGAAACAGTTACACGAAGATAATATGACACCAAGGATTTTGAACCAGAGTATCAGGGTATCACTACGGAAATCGTAGCCAGTTTCCCTTGGTGGTGGTGTGCAGCTTTACAAAGTCTAGAAGGCTCCCTCCCCTAGTAATGTGTCTAAAATCTGAGGCTACATTGAGGTGGGATGTTACCAGAGTAATTGAAGACATTGGAGCCCCAGCTTACAGTGGGACCATCAACCAGGTTATGCCTTATCCTGGCAATCCCATTTGATTCCAGATGCTTCTGGATTAAGACCCAAACTGGGGGTGGAGGTGGAGGATATAGCTCAGTGGTACAGCGCATGCTTAGCACATGCATAACATGCACAAGGTCCTGGGTTCAAACCCAATACCTCTATTAGAAAAAAAATTAAAAAATAAACCTAATCCCTCTCAACTCCCCCCACCCCCACCACCAGCACACACAAAAAACCCAACCTGGAGTAAAAGTCATATCTCAGAAGGACTTCCAGACCCTTATCTTTCCTGGAAGCCTCTGGAGTAGAACTGAGCTGGCATTTATTGAAGTCCTACTGTGTGCCAAGGGCTGTGCCAGGTACACACATTAAATCATTTGGTTCTACAGGAACCAAATAAGACAAATATTAATACTGCCATATTACAGAAGAATAAACTAAAATGTCAAATATATTATTGGCCCGTGGTCCTGTGGTCAGAAAAGTGGTAGAGCCAGGGTCAAGATTTGGTGCTCCTGATTTTGAATTTCCATTTTTGGTGATGTTTGGGCCCAGTTGTGTGTGAATCTGCTGAGGGAAAAACTGTATTAGGCAGGATCTGGGAGCCCCTCCCCACCCTGTACCCCCTTAATTAGACTCACCACCCCCACTGACAGATGTACCAGTGAGCCACCCATAATCCTGTACATGGGCTGTCAGGCTTCAAAGACGCTGCTGCAGTCCATAGAGAACACAGCCCTCCTGCCCCTTTTATTTGCATTGCCTTCCTCTCCCCAGTGCCTTAAGATTTTGATATTATCCATTTTGCTAATGCAACCGTGGACAGAACCAAATATATTCAACCGTAGAGATCGTGAAAAAAGATTTGGTTTCTAGGAAAATGACAAAAAATGGTAGGGAACCTTTAAATTCATACTCTGGCTTCCAAAACAAATGGATAATGTAGAGATAAGACTTGTCAGAGAATGTTTTTATATTATCATACATCAGTACATAAAACTTATGTTTATAAATAAGGAGATACGTGTTTGGGTAGATGGGTCAAATATGAAAGTAAAACAGCATATAAAGCTAATATCACTCTCAAATCTTTTATCATTAGATCATATTTTGAATGTATCACGTGCAAAATCTTCTCCACGCTGGAAGCACTTACTATACTGTTATCAGTGATCCTTGTTATAATAAAAGCCACATTATAACAAGCAACTGATTACTACTGCAGGTCAAATTATGTCCTAAAATTATAATTGCATAGAATCAGTATGCATTAAAGCCAGTAATTCATGAGATGAATGTTAAATTTATTTTCTCTTAAATAAGGTAGAGTGCCTTTCCTATGCATAATTTGCACATAAATACTGGCAGAATTGAGTTTTAACTGTCTGGTGTCAGAATTGTATGTGATTTAGCCATTTAGGGCATAGTGTGTGCTTAGTTGGAAAAAAAAATGTACTCCTGCTAAATCTAATAGCTGGCTAGTAGTAAAGAGAACTAAATTTTGACCTTGAATTTGTAGAGCTTTAACCACATTTCTGTAATTTCTTAGGAATTATGGTGGGTGTTTAAGTTCTGATTTCTCCTTGGACAGGCATTTGCATCTTAGAGAAAACAAACCATGCCAGCGGGAGAAGGGACAAGGACAGAGCTGGTTCTGTGGGTGCTCCTGGCTTGCATTCACCTCAAGCTGTGGTGTCCATGTAGGCAGCCCAAGAAGAGGACTGTCCGAATAGCCATGTGTGTGGGGACAGGGTAGGAGCATGCTCCCTAGAAACTTTATTCTTAGGGACAGGTCAAAAGATCATCCAGATCATCGCCTTATTTACCTGTTGAGTCTGAGGATGAAAGAAGCATTAGTTTATTTTGATCTTGTTTTAAAACAAAACAAAAACATAAAGCTACCCGCAGGCCAGAGTTTTTTAAATCTTTTCCTTTTCTCCTTTTTGCCTATCTTTATGTGAGTTGATTTTTTTTTTGCATATATCATAGTGAAAAGTGTATTCTTTAATTATTTGAGCAAAAGTGTCAGTGGAATCTTCTGGATTTAGGGAAGTTTGGGAGCCAGCTGTTGCTGATTAAGAAAAGTTGTCCTTATGATCTCAGGTGCCTGTGCAGATAGGGTCTTGTGAGAAACACCTGTTGAATTGCCCGTGGAAGAGAGAGCACCATCCCAGGTATCCTGGTACTGGGGAGTCGGACCAAAGAGGTCTTTGCCCTCCGGAAGATGGTTTTTAAAGCTTTTATTGCTTTGGGGCATTGGGATTCCATTCATCTCCTTAAGAAGGATACAGGGATATCCCTGCTTTCACGGCTGGGAGTGGCGTAGGGTGGTGGTGTGGCTGACATCAGACATCAGTTATCTATTTTTGCAGATAAAGTAACATGCGTTAGCTTGCCAGACCCTTTGGTCTTGGATCATTGGCAGAGCGTAACTGAGCATACTGCTGCAGTAGCAGACGCTAACAGCATACTGAAAGACCACACATCTTAAGTATGTAGCACGATTTTTTCTCCCTCTACTTCTTGATCCAACAAATCCATTCTGTCTTATTTGACCACCTCTAATTAATTCAACTGTAAATTAAAGGAAAGTATTTTTTAGCTTTTGATAGATTTTAATGCATGATTACATTGATTTCTCTTATTTCAATTAATATTCAGAATCCCAGCAAGTGTGGTTTTCTGTTTTTGTAAAGACTTCTTATGCTCCGTGTCTCATAATGTCTGAAGTACATGTTTTAGGAAAACAGCATTTCCAATTTAATGGTGGCTGATGGCGGGAAGAATTAACATTCCTGCTTTTGGTGGGTTTTGGGGGCTTGGGCCTAAGCCTACCCTACGTCACTGAGCAAGCACATAAATCACCTCAATGTATATGATGATTAATGAGTTTTAGTTACATAAATTCAGATAGTAAACTTGTACCAAGCATAGTTTGTGACATGCCTGAAAATGTTGAGTCTAGTTTGTAGATGAAGACTAAATCCATTATGCTCCTTGAATTCTTTTCCCTTAAACATTTTTTTTTAATAAAGGGAATTAACACATCTGGTTTTGGTGTTGAAACATCTCCTCATGAAAATTTATGGTCCCAAATTGAGGACCAGGGTGAGAACAAGGATTCATCTGTTTTTCCTTATTGGCTAATTTAACCACGTGGAAGGACAGATTTCCATCTTCCCTACATTGGTGCTTTCTTAGTTACCTGGCAATAGCTATTTTGGAGCATTTGTTCTACCAGACAGAAAAAAAAATACATTTGGAAGTAAAGGTCACTCTGTTGGTATTTGCATTAGTTTCAGTGTCTTGTTTGCAAGAAGCTGAAACTGACTATAACATACAGAAGAAAGGGTTGATTGGAAAGATGTCAAGACATGCACAGAGTCAACAAAGGAAACTGGAAAACGGGCAGACATTCCTAAAATGTGGCTAGACGCTCAGGCTGTGCCCTTGAAGCCTGGCCACCATAAACACTATTTCTTCTCTCCCAAATGACATGGACTGTGGCTATCAAACCTCTGGATCAGAAAATTACACGTACTGGTTAAGGATGTCAGCTGGCCCCCACTTTGGAGTTAGGAACACTCCTTTTAGTCCAATTTCCCTTAGGAACCTTGAGGTCTTCTACCTAGTCCTTGCTCTCCTCAACTTTTCTTAGTCTTCCTACTTTTTTCCATTATATTTTTTGACATATCTGAGAAATTGCCTTTAAGAAACTGTCCCCAAAAGTCTGGCAATAAAAAAAAATAAAAAAACTCCTGTTTGAAATCAAAGGGAAAAGGCACTGAGGCTGCATAGAGTGCAGCAGACTAGCTCTCTCTGACACTACTAATCAAACCCTCTGAGGGCTTTGTGCACCAGCTCCCCCAGGCTCCTGGGAGATGCACGTGGCATTCATCAGGATTTCAGATTGATTATAACTGTGTTCTCATCTGCTTCCAAAATGACAGTATCTGGCTTTAAGAAATAAGCCTGAGGCTTCAGTTTGGTTCTTAAAAGGCCCAAATCCTTCCCACGTCTGACCTTCCAGCACAGACAGACGGAGCCTTGTAAAATGAGTCCCTCAAGGCCACCAGCTCTCTCGTGCACAGCACTCTTGGC